TTATTTAAGGTTACATGTATGTTCGATACTTTTTCCAAAACGCTGTATCTTTACAAAATTTAGATCGTCTTTTATGTTTTTGGGCTTATTTTTCTCGTACATAGTTGTAGAAAATTCACGTGTTATGTACACTCTACAATGTCACATATATATGGTGATTTTTGTAACATTTAAAATACCATAATTTTCAGGTAAAATATCTTTTTCAACTTTTATTTGTAAGGAAAAAGAAAAGTTACGCGTCGATTATTTTTTAAAATAAAATAATTTTTATGCCAAATCCGAATTGTGGAGGTTGGCATGCGAAGTGCGCAGGGAGCGGATATGTATATATATGTGTGTATTTATGTAAGGTGACTTATGCAGATACCACAGCTTTTAGGATGTATACTAATAACATTGGAAAGTTTTGCAGACCTTCTACACAAGTACAATTGTGTCCTTATGACAACCCTTTTTTACTCACTAATGTCCACATAAGTTGCGTTTGATGAATATATACTTGTATACATACATGTGAGTGCGTAACTGTGTATGTATGTATTTAAGTATGTATAAAGGTAATAATTTATCTTCACAATAACACATATTATACTCTAATGTTTGGGTGATAAAAAAAAGGTATTATTGAATCACAACATCTCAAGGTAATTTAAAGTAGTTCCTACGATTTATCATACTGGAATGCACGGCCTTGTTTCTACAAACACATTATTGATGACTACATGACGACTGAAACTAACCCAATTCGATTCGCTGCATCAAACTGTCACCTCCATATTTAGCAAAGTTATCAATAAATTTCTTGACAGCTCATGGATAATCAGAGCGTACTAAGGCCCAGGCTTATTACTTATAATTTTATTGCATGGACACTCTGCTGGTGTTGGCCAAATTCTGTTCTCTTATTTTTTTTAAGCCCTTTGGAGGTCTAAAATAGACTTGTCTTTGATTTTTATTACACAGGCAAGCCAAAGACTATCAATAAATTATACATTTAAGTATATAATTCTAGGCATTAATTTCCTTTTACAGAAATAAAGTGTTCTCCAACTGCACATGTGTATTGAATGTATTTAATTATTTTTCACTAACTATTGAGATACGGTTCTTTCACTCTTAGCAAAAATGATAACAATTGTCTGATGAAAATAAAAATCTAATTGCACGTAAATAGTGATACATAAGGCTTTTTTGTACTCCCCACCTTATCATCCATTAAATATCGTAACAGTTTTTAGAAGTTTTGTGTGACATTATCATTAGGTATGACAAACCATGTTTGTGATACGTTTATATTATTAAATTTATAGGCTTATATAAATGGCAAATAACTTGTCGATTTAATTTAGTAAAGCTGAAAATGACAAGTTTAAAGAAATTTCAAACTATTCGCAAGAATAAAAAAACATATGTATAAAAAATATTGCTTGTTATAGCAGTGGTAATTTCAAACAAAACTTATATTGTCTAACTTATCGACAAGTGAGAAATTGTTTTCCAAAATCATACCTCATCGTAATAGACTACTATGAACCTAAGCCACTTATTTCGGTTACGTTCATCATCACAAAATTACGTTTTCACGAAATCGGTTATGTATCTCAAACCCTTATTTTTAATTTTTTCATTGTTGATAGTAGTATAATCAATAATTGCTTCAAAATTTAGTATCTTTTTGGATTTCTGATCTCATAATTTTGTCAAAGAAATAAATAATTCTTCATACTTCATGACATAAATTAAGCTCTATTCTGAGTTAATTGACAGAAAACTTTCGGAGGAAAATGGGAAATGTTAGTTTGCATCACTTATCTGACATCGTATTTTTTAAAATTTCTCTACAAGTTTTGTAATCAATCAATTAAAGTTTAAGCTTAATTTACTGCTTGAAATGCAAATAATCGTCGAAAACTCAGGTTTACAAAAAATGTATTAAACAGTTTAATCTTTAGCATGCATGACATGCTCTGAGTTATTGAATTTGATTACGTATGTACCTTTCAGGTAATAATTATTAAATGAATAAATGTTTACTTGCCAAAATAACAATTGACGATATTTTTTTGTATTGCAAGGAATTTATCGAACCCAAGCTTAAGTTGATTGAATGAAAACTCGAGATGGAAAATGAGAAATAAGATCTTATACCAGGCATCTACAATCGTATTTCCCATTTATCTTGGTGAAATTTTGTCCAATGTGCCCAAATTTTTGGTTGATTTGTTCCTTGAAGTATTGAGAATTCTTGCCCACTTTTTATTTTTTAATAACAGACGAAGTTATTTCATAAATAATGTGACACAGCTGTATAATGATATCCATCTTATCGGTAAGGTCAAAGAAACTTTTACTATCTTCCGTGAACTGTTTACTTGACTTACGATTATTGTAGATCTCTCTCCATTCTAGTAGTAAAGAATTCAAAATCAAAAAAAGATTGTACAGCAGTGACAGTGGCACAACACTTTTGAAACTCTTCTAATGGCTGATTTCTGTGAGATTAGCAGTTAGGAGTGCAAGTGATACTTAAATATTATGCTGTGCATGTACGCATTCATTTGAATAAAGGTGTGATAACTGATTTTATAGTAGATTGATTGTAAACTTGTAGAAAAACTTTGTTTTGTATTGAAACGGCCCACTTTGTCAAGGGTAATTCGTGAAGGAAAGTGGATCGTGGTATAATGGCAGACAGAGGAGCTGAGGAGACACGCAACCAAAAAGAAACTAACTCAAAAATTAATCTTATTTAATTCTTGGTATTTATTCAAATTTCTCAATTGACAGAAAAAAAAGGTCTTTAATATCAATCAAATAAAATCATAAGAAATTAAAGAACTCAAATCGATTATCTTACACAATGAATCATTTTTTATGATTGAAAACAAACAAAAAAAAAGGATTTTAAATATAATTATTTTTACTTCTGCGAAATCTGACTTAACTACAGAACGTGATTTTTTACGTAATTAATAGAAATTAAATAAAAAAATATCGATGAGATTCTATCAAATCACCTGATAACATA